AAAAATATTTCGTTTAATTTGCATCCAGATATTGCTTTGATCAGCTTGCCTCAGGGCAATTTGTAATCATTTCACGGTCGATTTAGTTTGTTGCCCCAGCAACCAGCAATAAAAATATTGAAAACTGGCAATAAAGCACGACGTCGCTATGACAAGTCTACGGTTTTCAAATGACCATAACGTAGAGAAAATATCACAAGGGAAAATAGTCTGATGTTCATAGCAACTGGTCGATACTTTTATTGTTTTAGAAGCACTCGGGTATGAATGTTGTTTAAATGATCAAAGTTTGTCTGGTGAAAAGCTAAAATTGGAACAAATGTCGCTTTGCTTCATCGAAAATCTTAAGATTTTTTCATATAGTAGCCGAAAGCTCCAAAATTGAAAAATTCTCCTTTTTGAAAATCTAATTCAGGATTTACTACGTATTAAACAATTTAAAAAAATGCAAATAAGGCGAGAAAAATGTGATTAAAAACATTTATACTACAGTATGGTAGTATCCACTAAAAGAAATTTGGGCGCTTTCTGAGTTTTTGACCTAGAAGGATAGGGAGGGTCACTCATTCTTCAATATTGCTTGCAAAGTTATTTCGAAAGGGTCATTACCTTTCATTAAGAGGCCAAACTATGCGCTAGTTAAGGCTCACAATTTGGTGTCCCTAAGTCTTTGGAATCCATGTTAAATTTTAAACATGTTAAGTTTTTGTCGGAACAATCAAAGAGATAGAAAGAACAGAAGAAAAAAGAGAGCATCCTTGTTGCGGAATCCGCTTGCCATTCGCAAAATGCACAGTTTGGCCACGTAATTCTTAGGTATTTTTTACCAGACGCATTCTCTGCCAATTGGCTTTTTTCTAAAGATGGCATCAGCAGAAGTGTGTAATAATTGGGTGAGATCCGCACCGAAATAAAAAACACATTCTGTAAATAGTTGACCTAGTAGAAGTCTCAATCTATTTTGCAAGGTTAAATGTTTTTTTTTTGTTCCAACGTTTTAAACTTCCAAGTTCATCTAATATTTTAACTATACATCTGTTGGAGGGTGAGGCTTTAACTGGACAGTTTTTTCCTTATTTCGCAAGGCAAAGTTTCAAAGCTTTTCATTTCAGTGTTTGTTTGGCAAAATTGAAATTTTTAACTTTTTTGTGGTGTGCAATCAGGCCCATAACGTCAAATATGGCTGCTCAATTTTTTTTCGAGATATTGCGTTTCTTATGATTTTATGGTTTTTTGTTCAGAAAACTTAGATTTAAAAATTAGTTGCAGCACTTGAAAACCTCAAACCTATAGGGCCTGGACCTATTGGGTTGAGGCAGGAACTGTTTTTTTTTTCAAACGGGAAATAATCCATTTCAAAAAAATTGTCGGCTTATCGTTTATCTGCTTATGTTTTGGCGGATAAGTTGCCGCATAGTTGAATTTTTTTCTACTGTACGCAAGTTTTACATTGTAGTTTCTTTTAGTGTTTTGATTTCTTTTCTGCTATTTGTAATATTACTAACCTTGATTTCATATGTAAGTTTTTTGTTTTTTCGCTTAAAAGATTTAATCTGCACAAATTATTTTGGCTTATTTTTTATCCGCTTACTGACCTATTTTTGAGTATTTTCAGGGAAGCATTAGTTTTATGATGCTCTCTTGATGGAAAAAAGTGCTAAAAATATTAAGAGAATTTATAGTTTTTCATGACAATTTTTTGGCTGTTCATTTTTTCCCTTTGTTGTGTTTGATAGGCCAGATTGCCTTATACTGCGTCATTCTACAAACGTAAAAAGTTTTATGTGCGTTTGGGGGTGCTTTGAGGGTGAGGGGACTTAAAAACTTTTTATTAGACATAATTTTTTTCCGGCTCTCTTTAAAAGTCTGTGGGGGATAAAATATGGAAAAGGGAAACTAAAATAAAATTTTAATGAAGAACTTTTTCATCGGGACTTTTAAGGGCTGTCAAAACATTCAAAGCTTCGCCCTGCTATAAGCAGTCTGGTTCTTTTATTAATCTTATTAGTTTTCGTAATGTGAATTGTGCGAAATTCAAGACCGATTGCGTTTGAAAAATAACGTTTGCAAAGCACTTTTCGTGTGGTTGTTAGTCGAGCGATAAAATATCATGTTTACGGAAAGTTGAAAGTGATTTACAGTTTAAAACTGCAATGAACGCAGACTATTGCTAAAAAAACGCAGACTATTGCTAAAAAAACGCAGACTATTGCTAAAAAAACGCAGACTATTGCTAAAAAAAAATCAGCAGAAATGTGTAATAATTGGGTGAGATCCGCACCGAAATAAAAAACACATTCTGTAAATAGTTGACCTAGTAGAAGTCTCAATCTATTTTGCAAGGTTAAATGTTTTTTTTTTGTTCCAACGTTTTAAACTTCCAAGTTCATCTAATATTTTAACTATACATCTGTTGGAGGGTGAGGCTTTAACTGGACAGTTTTTTCCTTATTTCGCAAGGCAAAGTTTCAAAGCTTTTCATTTCAGTGTTTGTTTGGCAAAATTGAAATTTTTAACTTTTTTGTGGTGTGCAATCAGGCCCATAACGTCAAATATGGCTGCTCAATTTTTTTTCGAGATATTGCGTTTCTTATGATTTTATGGTTTTTTGTTCAGAAAACTTAGATTTAAAAATTAGTTGCAGCACTTGAAAACCTCAAACCTATAGGGCCTGGACCTATTGGGTTGAGGCAGGAACTGTTTTTTTTTTTCAAACGGGAAATAATCCATTTCAAAAAAATTGTCGGCTTATCGTTTATCTGCTTATGTTTTGGCGGATAAGTTGCCGCATAGTTGAATTTTTTTCTACTGTACGCAAGTTTTACATTGTAGTTTCTTTTAGTGTTTTGATTTCTTTTCTGCTATTTGTAATATTACTAACCTTGATTTCATATGTAAGTTTTTTGTTTTTTCGCTTAAAAGATTTAATCTGCACAAATTATTTTGGCTTATTTTTTATCCGCTTACTGACCTATTTTTGAGTATTTTCAGGGAAGCATTAGTTTTATGATGCTCTCTTGATGGAAAAAAGTGCTAAAAATATTAAGAGAATTTATAGTTTTTCATGACAATTTTTTGGCTGTTCATTTTTTCCCTTTGTTGTGTTTGATAGGCCAGATTGCCTTATACTGCGTCATTCTACAAACGTAAAAAGTTTTATGTGCGTTTGGGGGTGCTTTGAGGGTGAGGGGACTTAAAAACTTTTTATTAGACATAATTTTTTCCGGCTCTCTTTAAAAGTCTGTGGGGGATAAAATATGGAAAAGGGAAATTAAAATAAAATTTTAATGAAGAACTTTTTCATCGGGAATTTTAAGGGCTGTCAAAACATTCAAAGCTTCGCCCTGCTATAAGCAGTCTGGTTCTTTTATTAATCTTATTAGTTTTCGTAATGTGAATTGTGCGAAATTCAAGACCGATTGCGTTTGAAAAATAACGTTTGCAAAGCACTTTTCGTGTGGTTGTTAGTCGAGCGATAAAATATCATGTTTACGGAAAGTTGAAAGTGATTTACAGTTTAAAACTGCAATGAACGCAGACTATTGCTAAAAAAACGCAGACTATTGCTAAAAAAACGCAGACTATTGCTAAAAAAACGCAGACTATTGCTAAAAAAAATTACAAGTGTTTTTAATAATGGCAACAGTTTGCTTGCCAAACTTGGTGCCAACTGAATAAATAACATTGAAGTGGAACAGTATTTCATTTCAGATATCCCACTGCCGTAGCATTTGTGCATCAAGTTCAATATGAAGGCCCCATCAGATTCAATTTGACCCTCTAAAGGCGGACTTATGCATAGAATGAGTGAGTACAGATTTTGATATACTTTTTTCCAAATTGAACTGGATAAGCTGTATTGATTTTGAATGCTTCATTGATCAACAAAGAGATGGTTTTACGATGTAGCTCTTACGATAGTTTTGTATAAGTCAAGTGTCGCAAATCTATACCTGATTTAAAATTTTAACTGACTCTGGATGACTGTGTCAAAAACTAAGGATGAATCGGATACCGCCGCAATTTCGGCTGATACGTTTTTCTCTATTTATGAATGATTCAAAAACGAAATTTTATCAGGGGGTAAAATGAATTTTTAAAACAGATATGTAGTCTATTCTGAGAGACGGAGATAATGCTTGGTGGAAAAGCTTAACACTCTTTCACGGTTCCTTTATTTCTGCGAAATCCATTCCGATTTCATCTCTATTGAATATGTTCTTAGTATTCAGTTTCAAATTTAGTAAAATTGACGATGACCAAAACTTGGCTCCCTTTTGCTAAATAGTCTTAAATCGGAAACTAATGCAGAGCAATAGATAAAGTCAGTAAAAATATCTCGGTTCGTTTCAGATTCAAAGATGGCTTGGTTATTAGGAACGCATACTAAATTGCATTCTTATTGCGGCTCTCTTTAATTTTCTTCCAAAATAGGGAGAGGTTCGGATCTATTTAAAAAGTTCCACTCCTTTCAAGAAAGGGGGAGATTGTTAAGTAGATCAAAATTGTTCGATTTTTCGACCAATCAGAATGCAGCAAAAGTAGAATTCTCAATGCAAATCACTAGCGCTAATTTACAGTTTTTGCTTATAGGGGTGGAGATTCTTAAGTTGGTACCATAGGGGGGGGGGGGGGGTGGAGAGACTGTTAAGTAGATCAGGAGATTCGTTATTACGTACAAAACTAACATATGCTTAACCGTTGAATTAGATCATTAGGTGTGGAAATTCGTTACTAGGTACCATAGTGGGTATAGTTAAAGATTACATGCCGAAAGTCCTCGGATAAATAGGTTTTACAATAGCGAATTGTCAGTCATTAATTTAAGAGCCTTGAAAACCAAACCTTGAGTTTGTTTCAATAACTCAAATTTCCTAAACAGACATGTTTTGACGTGTTTGTGAAAGAGAAAGCATGAATATCTTTCTTAATAGTTAGTGTTAAAACTTGTTTCTCTTATCTTTATCTCTTATACAAGGTGTTTAGTTCAATAAAAAATCGACTACTAACTTTTATATGCGTTTTGATTCACTGGTAAAACCAGAAGTGCAAAACTTACGACAGAAAAACTTCGAATTTTCAAGCCTGATAAATTCTACGGCTAAAAATTATTTTATAGAATACGTTCTGCATAGCTGAGCATTATAATGCTTTGAAAAATCGAAACAAACTAATTTTAGTGAAGAAATTTGTCGTTATCTTTCGCAGTGTTGCCTTATTGAGCTGTCAGTTGATCTTTTTTTAACCTATGAGAAGGTAAGGCCCTTGTTTTGTGGTTTCAATCAACCTGAATTTTCGCGTAAAAATTTGATACGGTTACTTTTGAACCATTTGAACAGCCTGCGTTTTGAACACAACCTGCAGGTTTTGTGTACGCATCTCAAATATTTATGGGACTTATGCTTGACAATTTATTAACTCTCCGTCAAACGTAACAAAAGACGACGATCACTTAGCAAGCGGAACGGAATATTCTGTTCTCGATATTTTTGTGATAGGTTTTAAAGATAAAAAGCTTGAAAAAAATATGAAAGCATTTTGATTAAACAAGGATGCAATTTTCATACGTGAACTTTTTTCCAGCAGCCTGCGTTTTCGGTCAGTTTTGAAGCATTGAATATATTCTCCATGAGTTGACCTGGAAAAATTCCTGAAGATTTCCCGTTAAGTGTTTTTTTTTTCATTTTGCTTGGGTATGTTAACTTTCTGTTGACATGTGTTGTCAAATCCTGAACCCTTTTTTGTTGTCAAATCCTGAAAAAAATTTTTGAACTAGTTTTAGAAAATCACTTTTGTGATAATATCTATTTGACACTTGCGGTAGCAAATTTTTGGTTATCGAGTACTGGCATTGAGTGTTTACCTGCTTGAAACTTCAGAGACTTTTTTCTCGTATAAATTGTTCATAGAAATCTTGTCCTCAGACCTGGCGTTGAACACTCAACAGAACAGACTTGTGACATCAAAAAATTTGTTATTATGTTTGAGGTTAATTACTGGTTCTCTTTACACAGGCAAAGCTTCATAACGCTTCATTTAAAATGCAGAAAAGTTATTACATGCTGAGAGGGACTAGTAGACTTGGTTTGCCTCGTCCATGGTCCAGCGTTGTTGGTCCTTAACGCGAAATTAGGGCAGGTCAGAGGCGTAGGGTTACCTGAACGTCACTTCGACGTTAAGCTCAGTCTGAATAGTGCCCTTCCTGCACTCAGTAAAAAGAGAAAATAATAGATTATAGTGGATTTTTATTGTCAGTCTCTATAAATTTCAAAAAGAATTGATTATAATCGATTAAAAATGGATAATAATGTTATTATTTTTCGAAACAATAAAAATCATTCCAATCGTTTATAATCGATTATAATCGATTATTTTATGAATTTTTTTTTCTAATATTTTATTGAATTATAATCCATTATAATGAAATTAAATCCATTATTATTCAAAAATTGTGTCATTGATTCTTTTCGTTTTATTTTTGTTTTGTGTGCTTCTCAGTTGTTTACCGAACTAAAAGAAACTGTAATTTTGTACTTTAGGGGCGGTTTTAGGGGTGGGGGCTGGGGTTTCCCCCTTTGAAGTATCTTTTTGGAGATATCCATTTTTGGTGACGGACCCTAACAACTTTCTAAAGGCGCCCGTGGCGCCAATATATACTAATTGTACTAATTTTGAGGGGGCGGGGAGAGCGCGACAAAAAAAGCATTTTTTAGATCAAACTTTTCCAAAAATGTCTAAAAACGCCTTTTTGACCTGTTTTTTTATAATATTAATAATAATAACAAAGGATTTAGGAATATAATCCAAGGGTTCGCATAAAACCCAGTCATTGCATTGTTCAAAGTTTAGTTTTCAGTTATAAGTGTAAGTTTCTTCAGGTCTGAACAGTTGTTGCATTCGCATAGAATGCGCCAAGTGCATGTGTCTGATTCGTTGTAGCGAGTTTTGAAAAACTTTGTGTACATTCCTAGAAGTCTGTTTTTGCATTCTGGGTCAAACAATATGTCACATTTGAAGTATTCGTTGTACATATTAGCAAGACGACATGCCCGAAACCAGAAATCTGACTCGCACTTCTTCAGACGCATTTGTTTGCAGACGAAATTGTTGATTCAGGGATACCAGAAATCCGACTCGCACTTCTTCAGACGCATTTGTTTGCAGACGAAATTGTTGATTCTCCGTTGATTCAGGGATTCCTCGTATGCGAATTCCATCGAGTTCGTCGGCGGGTTTCGGTGGCGGTTTTTGGCGACTGGCAATTGAGCTAGGTTGGGTTGGATAATCTGAATCAGGTTGTTTTGTGGTTAGCAGCGTTTTGATTTCGGTCACTGTTTTTTTGAGGTCAGTCATTTCGTTTTCCAGGGTTTTCATTTCAGTTTCTCGAAGTTCTTTTGAGGTTGTAGTTTCATGGGCAGCTTGGGTCAAATTATCTTGACGTTTTTCTTCAACGCATTTGTTGCATATCAATAGAGCATTTTTTCCAAAGGCTGGTACTCCATTGACAGCGGCTTCACTTAGACCAGTGCAGTCTTCATTCAAGTGCATTCGACAACCACAGCAAAAGCAGTCGAAAGAGCTTTCATTCTTAAGGTTTTTCTCGCAGCACGTACTACAAGAATCAGAGACTGATTTGACCCGATTTTTGGTTATGCGGTAGCAAATTTTTGGTTATCGAGTACTGGCATTGAGTGTTTACCTGCTTGAAACTTCAGAGACTTTTTTCTCGTATAAATTGTTCATAGAAATCTTGTCCTCAGACCTGGCGTTGAACACTCAACAGAACAGACTTGTGACATCAAAAAATTTGTTATTATGTTTGAGGTTAATTACTGGTTCTCTTTACACAGGCAAAGCTTCATAACGCTTCATTTAAAATGCAGAAAAGTTATTACATGCTGAGAGGGACTAGTAGACTTGGTTTACCTCGTCCATGGTCCAGCGTTGTTGGTCCTTAACGCGAAATTAGGGCAGGTCAGAGGCGTAGGGTTACCTGATCGTCACTTCGACGTTAAGCTCAGTCTGAATAGTGCCCTTCCCGCACTCAGTAAAAAGAGAAAATAATAGATTATAATGGATTTTTATCGTCAGTCTCTATAAATTTCCAAAAGAATTGATTATAATCGATTAAAAATGGATTATAATGTTATTATTTTTCGAAACAATAAAAATCATTCCAATCGTTTATAATCGATTATAATCGATTATTTTATGAATTTTTTTTTTCTAATATTTTATTGAATTATAATCCATTATAATGAAATAAAATCCATTATTATTCAAAAATTGTGTCATTGATTCTTTTCGTTTTATTTTTGTTTTGTGTGCTTCTCAGTTGTTTACCGAACTAAAAGAAACTGTAATTTTGTACTTATAGCCAGGGGCCCTTTTTTTTGGGTGGGGGCTGGGGTTTCCCCCTTTGAAGTATCTTTTTGGAGATATCCATTTTTGGTGACGGACCCTAACAACTTTCTAAAGGCGCCCTTGGCGCCAATATATACTAATTGTACTAATTTTGAGGGGGCGGGGAGAGCGCGACAAAAAAAAAACATTTTTTAAATCAAAATTTTCCAAAAATGTCTAAAAACGCCTTTTTGACCTGTCTTTTTTATAATATTAATAATAATAACAAAGGATTCAGGAATATAATCCAAGGGTTCGCATAAAACCCAGTCATTGCATTGTTCAAAGTTTAGTTTTCAGTTATAAGTGTAAGTTTCTTCAGGTCTGAACAGTTGTTGCATTCGCATAGAATGCGCCAAGTGCTTGTGTCTGATTCGTTGTAGCGAGTTTTGAAAAACTTTGTGTACATTCCTAGAAGTCTGTTTTTGCATTCTGGGTCAAACAATATGTATGTCACATTTGAAGTATTCGTTGTACAGATTAGCAAGACGACATGCCCGAAACCAGAAATCCGACTCGCACTTCTTCAGACGCATTTGTTTGCAGACGAAATTGTTGATTCAGGGATACCAGAAATCCGACTCGCACTTCTTCAGACGCATTTGTTTGCAGACGAGATTGTTGATTCTCCGTTGATTCAGGGATTCCTCGTATGCGAGTTCCATCGAGTTCGTCGGCGGGTTTCGGTGGCGGTTTTTGGCGAATGGCAATTGAGCTAGGTTGGGTTGGATAATCTGAATCAGGTTGTTTTGTGGTTAGCAGCGTTTTGATTTCGGTCACTGTTTTTTTGAGGTCAGTCATTTCGTTTTCCAGGGTTTTCATCTGAGTTTCTTGAAGTTCTTTTGAGGTTGTAGTTTCATGGGCAGCTTGGGTCAAATTATCTTGACGTTTTTCTTCAACGCATTTGTTGCATATCAATAGAGCATTTTTTCCTAAGGCTGGTACTCCATTGACAGCGGCTTCACTTAGACCAGTGCAGTCTTCATTCAGGTGCATTCGACAACCACAGCAAAAGCAGTCGAAAGAGCTTTCATTTTTAAGGATTCTCTCGCAGCACGTACAAGAATCAGAGACTGACTTGACCCGATTTTTGGTTATGTGGTAGCAAATTTTTGGTTATCGAGTACTGGCATTGAGTGTTTACCTGCTTGAAACTTCAGAGACTTTTTTCTCGTATAAATTGTTCATAGAAATCTTGTCCTCAGACCTGGCGTTGAACACTCAACAGAACAGACTTGTGACATCAAAAAATTTGTTATTATGTTTGAGGTTAATTACTGGTTCTCTTTACACAGGCAAAGCTTCATAACGCTTCATTTAAAATGCAGAAAAGTTATTACATGCTGAGAGGGACTAGTAGACTTGGTTTGCCTCGTCCATGGTCCAGCGTTGTTGGTCCTTAACGCGAAATTAGGGCAGGTCAGAGGCGTAGGGTTACCTGAACGTCACTTCGACGTTAAGCTCAGTCTGAATAGTGCCCTTCCCGCACTCAGTAAAAAGATAAAATAATAAATTATAGTGGATTTTTATCGTCAGTCTCTATAAATTTCAAAAAAAAATGATTATAATCGATTAAAAATGGTTTATAATGTTGTTATTTTTCGAAACAATAAAAATCATTCCAATCGTTTATAATCGATTATTTTATGAATTTTTTTTTCTAATATTTTATTGAATTATAATCCATTATAATGAAGTAAAATCCATTATTATTCAAAAATTGTGCCATTGATTCTTTTCGTTTTATTTTTGTTTTGTGTGCTTCTCAGTTGTTTACCGAACTAAAAGAAACTGTAATTTTGTACTTATAGCCAGGGGCGGTTTTAGGGGTGGGGGCTGGGGTTTCGCCCTTT